TGCCACCCTCGGGCCCCCACCCCAGCCCCCAACTGTGAGAGGCTGAGGCCTGGCCACTTCCTGAGGGGCCCAGCTTCCAAAGCCACCTTCAGCCCCAGAAGGGGTCTCACTAGGCTCCTCCCAGCAAAGCCCAGGGTGGTTGATCCTGGGAGCTGCACTTTGATGCACGGCCTGGACACCCACGGGTTCTGACCACTGTAAGCCTGAGGGGGCTTACGAACAGAAGCTGGAGTGTTTGGCAAGGAAGAGGGAGGACATGGGGAGGGGCTGTTGCAAGGTTACCCACTTCAGATACTAGAGCAGGGGTGGTGGCAAGCGTCCTCCCAACTTGTTGCCAATGCCCCTCCTGTACCCAGGGCAGACATTATTGGTCAATCGCAGCACTTTCTAAACTGCATGTGGATGCAGCCTCAGAGTCCTTCTTAATCCAGCATTCTGGGTGGTCACTATCATTTAGTGGTCTTACACACCACAGTCGAAACCCATTGGCACCCTGAGTGAAAGGGGTGTCACATGGGAGAGAGCCAGCACCCAGTTAGTGTTGGGCATTGGGTCGGGGCCCCTAGCCTGGCACGTGTGGCAGAATTCAAAATGACAGGAGTGTGCAGGGCCCCAGGAGCAAGGGTGGTTTGCCTAGGTGTCTGCGGGGATTGCTGTGGGTAGAGAAAGGATGGGATCTGTCAGGGGTGGTGGGACATGGGTAGGGGGATGGCGTGGTCTGGTGGGGCTCTATCCAGAGGGGCTTTAGCCTCTGCTGAGCCCTGGAGGGTGGCCCCGACCCAGAGGAGATGGGTAGTTGAGATGGTCCGATCCGGGTTTCCCAGAGCCTGCCCAGTATGGCTGGCTATGTAAAAGGATGGTTCCTGGTCCCAGGGGTTGGGGGCTCAGCCAGTCATGTTGTGGGCAGCTGCCCTTGGGACCTGATGCCAGAACCCTGCTGGCAGCCCCTGGCCTTAACTCAGGGCTCAGTGGTGGGGAGAACTTTCTAGCAACTTGAGCCTCCAGAGAGGTGGCAATGCCTTTGTCAAGGTGGCATGGGGGGCAGGGGGCACCCGTTGCAGAAGGCCTTGCCCTCGTGGGTGTGCGTACAGGGAGCTGGGGCAGGACCCTGGTAGCATGGGGGTGATTAGAGCCCTGTGCGTCAGGCCCCTGGAAGAGTTTGCTAAGCCTTCAGTGTCTGCACTGAGCTCTGTGGGCCTGGGGGTGGGGATCTCGAGGGACCCTGTGGTGGGAGGTCCCCTGACCCCCACCCCCCTCCGGGGATTCTGGTCCTCTGTTGGCTGGCCATGCACCCCTCCCCCAGGACCTGGCCAGGAGCACTCCCACCATAGGGGATGCTGGGGGCGGGGTGCCGGGGCGTCCCAGCAGCCCAAGGACCTGGTCTGTGCTGCCCCTGCCCAGTTCAAGACTGTTTCCGCTTCATTGCACCTCATTAGGTGCTGATGGCGTCAACCTTTTGTCCTCCGTTGCCACTTATGTCACAGGATTGGGTTGTCTCCTGGCGACTCAGAGCGTGGGGCCAGGATGGGGGGCATCCTCAGTGAGGCGTTCCCTGAGGCCCAGGGCCTCTCCCCGGAGCTCACCAGGGGCCTCCAGGGCTCCGAGGGCAGCAGGGCCCAGGGATACAGCGTGGGCTCGCGTGTCAATTGGGGTGATCACAGTAGCCTGACCTCGAGGGGTGTGAGGGCCTGGGAATGACAGGGTTCTGGACCACACCACCCCTGAAAGAGTACTGGCTAGAGGAGCTCTGACACCCACCCCCTGCCCCCTGAGCCCTCTCCAGAGCTCCGCACTACCACCACGTTCTCCTCTGCAGAAGCCCCTTCGAGAACCAGGCATCTCCCAGGCTGGACGCAGCAGCCCTGGCTTCTGGCTTCTGGCTTCTGGTTTCAGAACAGCTGCTCTGATTCATGAAAATCAGTTTTTATTTTCTTCTTCAGTTCAGAGAGTACAGTCTTGTTGGGAAAAGAAAGGGTCCTTTCTGTGGCTGGGCTGGAAGGACTTCTCCCCTTCCTCCCTCGCTGCCCCCCACCCCAGATACCCACCCGTCCGGGCCTCTTTCCTCACACTCGCCCCGGGCCGGGGCCCATGCCCCCTCTGCTTCTACTTCCGTCTCCCCAGCTGCTCCCTCCTTCCTCCCTGAACCTTAATTCCCCTCCTGGGGTCCCAGAGGGTGGGGCTTCAGGCAGGCTGGAGATGGGGGAAGGGCCCCTGGTAGATTTCTGTCCCCTCATCCCTGGCCACCATCTCAGGGTCAGAAGTGGAAGGACGTGCATGGCCATCACCCTCCCACTGCCCCCAAAGGGTGCGGCAGGAAGGAGCCCACCACTTGGCCAGCTGAATGCCTGCTCCCCGGAGGGTGGGTGGGCGGGAGGCCCAGACCTCCCGAGGGGTCATGGGGGTCTGTGCCTGGGAAACGGCGTCTGGGAAGGAGGAATTTACAGACTTCTGTTTACCAAAACGAGGCCCCGTAAAACATTTAACAGCAGCCAATTAAAGGAGGACAGCTGTGGTGGTTTAACCACTCCCCATACTACACACACAGGCCTCTGCCCCTCTGCCCTGGCCCGCCCCCACCCCCGTCCGGCTCTCGGCTTTTGTCAAGTCTTCCAGGAGCTGCGTTTAATCTAGGGAACATCTGCTCCAGATGTGTCTCTGCACACAAACCAGGCCAGTTGGCCAGGCTCTCCGAACTCAGCCGTGCCCTCGCAGGAGGGGGCTGCAGGGGGACAGGCCTGGGGGACGTTGGGCACCTTCCCTGAGTCCTCAGATGGGCCTGGGATGTGAACCCCCAGTGGGGAGACGTCTTGGGACTCCTCAGAGCTTTCACAACATGCATGCTGGTGGAGAGCCTCCGAATGGGGCTGGCATGGGCCGTGTTCTGCGTGGAGCACCTCTTGGGGATAGTGTTCCACAGCTTGACCTCAGATCCCCTGGGCTAGAGAACATGACACTGCGTCATTAGGGCTGAACGGTGGCTACTGCCAAGGGGGCTGCCAGGTGCAGGGTGCGCCATTTGGACTGGGGGCCTTGATCCTGGGGCATCCCAGAGTGTCCCTGTTTGATGCCTGCCCATTTCCCATTCTGAGTGGTACTCCTGGGGCTCCTCGTCCATCCCTACCTCTGAGCTGGGTTCCACAGCCCCACCCACGCTGGCATAGCTCCCCCTCAGCCTCAGACCTGCCAAGGGGCCTCTGGGCCCCCCATGCTCACAGTGAGCTCCAGGGCTGCCCCCCATGCCCCCACAGATGCCCCCAGCACTGAGACAAAGCCGGCCTTCACTCTCCATCTCAACAGCGGCAGCAACATGGCAGGCTGGCCTCCGGGCCTCTGAGGGCCTGGGGGCCTGGAGGTCTGTGCTATGGCTCTGAGCCTCCCCTTCGGGAAAGGTGTTTGTCTCGTGTATTCTGTGGAGTGGAGCGGAGCGTGCGGCCACGAGTTGCCACGAGGAGTTCCACTGAAACAGCAAAGGGCTTCTGTCCTGAAAGGAGTTTGGAAAACAGTTAACGAGCAGGTTCACACGGAACTCCCTGACTCAGACTCGTCCGTAACTTCAACACGACGCACTAAGTGGGGTGCTGGCACCCCTGCTCCCCGGGCATGGGGCTCGCAGCTCCCTTGTTTCAAGGCACAGTTTTGACCTTGTTCAAACACTTGCCCTGCGACCTGTGCCTTCCCCTCGGGGACTGCTGCCTCAGGGCCCTGCTCCAACCCCTCCCTCTCCCTGTCCCTGAGGCCACTGCTCCCTGGGGAGACCCGGTGATTCCTACTCCCTCGTCAAAGCCCAGGAGCCCCAGAAGTCGGGTGGGAAGCTGCTCCCAGCAGCTGGTCACTCTTGGGACAATCGTGGGGTCCCCAAGACAAACTCTTCTGGGACCCATTTTCCATGGGGAAAATGTTCAGAGCATTAGCTCAAAGCGTGAGTTGTGGAGTAAGACAGCGTCCTGCCCACCCCAGCCCAGCCGACTCGGCCATCCCAGCTGCAGGCCCTCCACCCACCCCTGCCCCCTCACTGCTGGGCCTGGTGGGGAAGGACCAGCTGTGAGGAGCCACATTCCAAGTGGCTGGTAGCTCTGGGCATCCAGCAGACACACCTCCCCTGGATGTGCCTGGTCAGGATGCCAGTGCCTGGATGGGCCTCCCCGGCCAAGTGTTAGTTCTGTCTGTCTTCATCCCTTCTGGGGGGCAGGGTGTGTGTCCCAGATGGCCAGAGCGAGGTCCAGGGTGTGGCTGGTGTTCCTGTGCTGGGCAGGGCCAGGCCAGGAGGACAGTCCAGGCCCCTCAGAGGGACAGAGAGGGGCCTGCTTGACCTGACTGGGAAGCTCCAGGGAGGGTCTCAGGCTGGGGACCAATGCAGGGAACTCTCCTGGGAGCGATGCTGCCACGGCTGGGCACCAGCTCCTTTTGCAGATCTCACAGCACAGAGGAGGCCCAGCTGGTGAAGAGCCCCATACCTGCGGCCTCCAGCAAGGCAGAAGCCTGTCACACCCAACTAAGTCAGCCCCGGGGTGTGGGTCACTGACCCCAGAGCTGCTTGCTCACCTGGAGGCTATGGATGGTGCAGGCCCAGGTCGTGTCCAGCCCTGCCCCTCCTGGCCAGAAGCTCAGCCAGGGCTGCAAGGGCTTCTGTCCACTGTGTGTGACCACCGCGTCTCCCTCCTCCCAAGACGCTCTCCAGAGCCCCTTTTGTTGCCCTGCCTCAAAGCTCCCGCACTGCTAAGTGCTGCTGGGTGAGAAATCAAAGGCTCCCTCCTCCATCCTCCACTTTCTCCCCAGCCCATCAGCAATTCAATTTGTGCCACACCGGAGGGATGGTATTAGTCGAGTCAGAGTTAATATGATGTATTGATGGGTTGATTTCCCACCGGCGGGCTGCACGCACCGGGCTCCACGGGGCGTCGCTCCCGGGCCACCCGCCAGCTTCTCGCCCCCCTGGGGTCAGGGCGGGTGCGAGCCTGGGGCCTGGAGGTGCCTCTATAGCTGTCTCCTTGCTTCTCTAGCTCCAGGGTACCCCAGATTTTCAGGGAGTCTGGCATCTACCTTCCTACCCATGAGCCACTTGGATCACCATGGAAACAGCAATGTTCTCTATGGGCAACATCGTTTCTATGGAACCCAAAAAGGCAAGTGCTGGTGTGGGGCCGTGAGGGATCGCGTGGGGCCTGGGGCACAGGTCATCCTGGAGGGGTGGAGGGCAGGGCTGGGGGCTTCTGGGGTGCCAGGTAAAGGTGGCCAGCCTGGCTGAACCCTCACCTCCAGGTCTCAGGCCACGGCAGGGATAGGGGCTGGAGGAGGGTGGGACTGCTTCTCAGGCCGCTGGAGACTTTGAACTGCAGGGCCCAGGACCACAGCCAAGCAGCAGGTTACATGCCGGGGTCAGGCGAGCTCGCTAAAAACACAGCTGTGCTCCCTGAGCTCTCGTGGCTCAGATGGAAGCATCGCAAACAACCGTGGCCCTGAGGGGTGGCACCCAGGTCCCTCAGCACCTGGCCTTTTGCTGTAGCACCCCCCGCCCCGCCCCAGCAGGGGTCCCAGGGACATCGGGTGGGAGTATGGAAGGCCCCCCAGAAGCCTGTACCTCGTGCCTCACCAAGCTAGGCAACACGAGGCCCAGGAGCCACCCCACACCTGGGCCTGAGGTCAAGACAGGGCAGGGGAGGGGTGGCAGGGGGTGGGGGGGCAGCAGGGAAGGGGGGCAATAGTGTGCCCCCAGCAGACAGAGGAACATCTCCTACCCTGTTGGCAGGAGGTGTCGCTGGAGAGGGGATGCTGAGGTTGAGGCTTTGCTGATGAGAAGGCGGGGTTGGTGGAGCCATGGGGAGGGCATTCCGTGAAGAGGGCATGCTCACGCCATGTGCACACACACACTCACATGTCTGCGTGCAAAGGCCCAGCCTCAAGGAGCCTGTGGGAGATGTAGCCACCTGGAGATGAGACAGGTGTGGGGAGTGGCCTGAGGCCTTGGTGCCCTGTCTCCAGGATTTTCCTTGGTGGGGTGACGTCTCATTTGCATTTTATAAAGATCTTCTGGGGGTGGTGCCCAAGAAGCTGGGCCAGAGAGATTTTTGGGTTAGTTACTGTGTTTAGATGACAAATAATGGACTTGAATGGGGACATGGGATCCCATGGGAGACGTGAAATGGGCATGAGGGTCAGGGGGGTCCCAGATAACCCCCAATTTATGGCCCAGGCTGTAGGAGGGCGGCACACCCGCAGAGGAGCAGTTCAGAGGGGAGGGGTGAGTTCAGCTTCCATGCAGAGGGACTGGGGGACCTGCCTTCCCAGGGGGTGACTGGACATTCATGGTGGGGGGGTCAGTGCCAGAGGGGCGGCTTAAGAGGTTGACCCAGGACAAGGAGAGGGACCACCTGGGTAAGGAGGGTGGATAAGGACAGAAGCAGCTCCGGGGAGCCCAAGGAGCCCCAAGTTCAGGGCTCTGAGTGGGGGTAGGCTTCAGGTGGCAGCAGCTAAGCAGTAGAGAGTCCTGAAGGGTCTCACAGAAGGAAGGGGACCCCAGAGAGGTGACCCTGCCAGGCAGGTTGGGGGCGGGCCTGTGGCCAGCCCTCCTGCCCTTCCACCGCCGTCCCCAGCCCCTTCTCACAGCCTCCCACTCTGTGACCTCAGCTTGTCTATGTCCTGGAGCCCATCTTGCATCTTTGTCCAGGCAGGGCTATGGAAGGCCTTGGCCCAGCCCAGGGCTGGCCAGCTTTGATTGGTGCAAGTAAGACCCCGCCTACAGACAGGCCCAGGAGAGCTCCCCAGCCCCATCAAGGGTATGGACAGACGCTGGACGCTCCCAGGGGACCAAGTCTCCTCGGGGCTGGAGGCCAGGTGCACTGCTGCCCAGAGGACAGCCCCCCCGCAGGCCTCGGGCTGAGTACCTCAAACTCCCACATCAGCAGCAATGTGTGCTGCTATTTTGACAGTGCTTGTCAGGAGCAAGCAGGTGGTCCCAGCCCCAGAAATCGGACCCAGAGCCAGGGACCCCCTCCAGGGTGTGGGCCACTGGCTTGCAGGAGCACTCACTGGCTGGTGGCTTCCGGCTTTCACAGTGTTGTGGTGGAGCCCTGGCGAAGAACACTTTGGGTTTGGAAATTGAGCTAATTAGGTTTAGCTACACTCTTCCCCCTTGCTTTAATGAGCAGGAAATTGACAAGTAATTTACATGACTCAGGTCGGTTTTACAAGTTCTAAATGTTTCTTTTGTTCCCTCTCTGCTCCATGCCATCTAGGGTGCCAGCTGGGTGTAGATGGGGTTGGCCCCCCAGGGTCCCCAGAGACAGGCTTAGGGAGCTGTGGGTGTCCCCAGAGCTGGCTGGGGACCCAGGTAGAGAGCAAGGCACCCCAGGTTGAGGGCCCACGCTGGACAGCAAGCCATGGCCCAGCGCAGGGAGCTGGGGGTACACCTACCACCCACCCAAGCTGGATGGGCCCAGAGCTGCAGAGGCATTGAGAGCCCGTAGTGGACTAGGTGGGGACGGCCATCTGGGACCATTTTCCTTTCTTTAAATGATCATCCTAGCCCCCCAGCCTGGCTGGGGGCCTCCCAGGGTATTCAGGAGGTCGGTGGGCCGGGTCCTTCACACCTGGCCCATTCTCAGACACATACCTGCCCTGGGCCTCACTTCTTCCTGGGGGTCTTAGCACTTACAGGGGGCTACTAAAGGCTGTCCACAGTGCACGGTCCTGCTTACAGGGGCGTCTCTCAGGCAACTCTCCACGTGGCTGGGCATCCTGAGCTGTGTAGTGACCACATCACACCACATGCTGTCCACTTAGCCATTCCCCAACTATGAGCCCACAGCCTCCGTAGCTTTTAAGGTTCTGACGGCTGTTTGTAAAGACCCAACCAGTTTACACTCCCCCAGCATCGTGTGGGGTTGGGGGAGATGCCCGTGGCCCCAGACCTCACCCCCTGGCTCTGGTCAGGGCACACTGCCGCCCGCTCCTGCTTTCCCTTCACTAATCTCCACGGGTACAGCCGGGCACAGGGGCTGGGCTCTTTGCAGCTCCCGTCTCCTAGGGGCTGAACATACGTCAAAAGCTCTGGGGCATTGGGGAGCCAGTGTTTAATGGGGACAAAGCTTCAGATTGGGACGATGAAGAATTCTGGAGATGGACAGTGGTGAAGGCTGCATCACACGAGTGTACTAATTACCACTGAACGGCACACTTAAAAATGGTTAAAGTGGTGATGTTTACATCACGTGTATTTTACAGTTATAAACCTTCCTCAGAAAGTACCAGTGGGTCAGTGTCAGCTGGCAGTGGGGAGGCACCTGGCACAGTGTCTTGGGGGCACTGAGCCCTCCAGCCCCTGCCCCAGGCTTCCCGGTGACCTCAGCTCTTTCGGCACACAGATAACTTCTACCTGCGCAACCTGCCGCCCCAGCCCACGCTCCTGCCCGCCAACCACAGCTTCCCCAGTGTGGCCCGGGCCGCCCCCGGCCACCCCATCGGCTCCTGCAGCCGCGACCGGGGCGAGGCCGGTCACCTGCAGAAGGGCGCCAAGGAGTTCGACCGCTTCCTCATGGGCAAAGAGAAAGCCGGCAAGGTGGCCGAGGGCAAGGAGCGGCCGGCGGTGGAGGAGGACGTCGTCAGGGGGCGGCACAAGCTGGTGCTGCCCGTACCGGGCGACTCGCACTGCAAGGAGGGTGGCGTGGCCCGGGGTGCCTGCGAGGGCCGCCCCAAACACCTGGCCTCCTGCCTTCTCAACACCAAGGTGCTCGACGGTGAGCTGGGCAGGTCTGCGCTGGCCAGCTGCGCGGGGGGTGTGCTGGGGCGGCCGGGTATGGGCGTGCCGGCCTCTGGACGCTGCACCAAGGAGGCAGCCGGCCCCGTGGAGCCTGGGCCAGCCTTCGGCGAGTGCCTGGAGCGGAGGCAGATGCTGCACCACGCCGTGCCCTACACGGTGCCGTCTGGCCTGCCCGCCGGGCCGCCCCCACCCCTCAGCACGGCCACCGGCTCCTTCCCCTGCCTGCAGCTGCATGGGGGCCCGGATGGGCTCTGCCCCCTGCAGGACAAAGTCCCCCGGGACCCAAAGGCCAGCGGGCCCACCTTCGTGCCTTCCATGGGACACCTGGCCGACAAGAGCCGCCCGTTCCAGGTGGCCGAGGCCTGTGCCATGGCGGGTGAGGGCAAGGACCGGCACCTGGATGGGGCTGCAGCGCCTGACCATGCTGCGCTTTATGGGGTCTCCTATGCCCACCTGAAGGCCGAGGGCAAGGGTGACCGGCGGCCCGGGAGCTTCGAGGCGGCCCTCAACCCCCGGCTGAAGGGCCTGGAGTACCTGGACAGCGCAGGCCCCGAGGCCCCCTTCCCGGGGCTCCCCAAAGCAGGTCTGGACAAAAGCGGCTACTTTGAGTTACCCGCCCCCTCACAGGACTGTGCCCGGCCAAGTCACCAGGACCCGTTGGGCGGGAAAGTCACCCAGGCCTGCTGCACTTTAGACAAGACTGCCAGCAAGGAGACCCCTGTGGGTGCCCCCGGGGCCCAGAAGGTGGCTCGCATCCGGCATCAGCAGCAGTCGGTGGCCCCCGAGGTAGAGCCGGGGGGCAGCGGGGCCGAGGCCAAGCGCAAGTCTCTGGAGCTGGCGTCTCTGGGCTACAGCGGGCCGCCCCCGCCCCCGTGGAGTGTCCAGTCGGGCCAGGGGGCCACCGTGGCCATTAGTGAGGAGTGCAAGGCTGGCGCCTACCTGGACCCCTTTGGCGGCACCCTGCAGCAGGCCGCCCTCCTGCCTCAGGACCTGCCCGCCCCGCCTGACGAGGTCTCGGCCATGAAGAACCTGCTCAAGTACAGCAGCCAAGCACTGGTCGTTGGCCAGAAGGTGCCCTTCGTGGGCCTGGGGGGCCTGAAGGCCAGCTGTGCCCAGCAGGACGGGAAGTTCCCAGCCTCCAAGGGCACGGGCCAGGCCCCCGGCGACATGGAAAGGCCGGACTGTGCCCGAAGCCGAGAGCACGTCGCTCCGCATGGCGATGGGGAGGTGCGGCAGCCACCTGTGGGCATTGCGGTGGCCTTGGCCCGGCAGAAGGACACGGTGAGCCGGGCGGAGTCAGCCTACAGTGCCAACACAGGGCGGCAGGGCCGGGCAGCCCCCGCCTTCAAAGGTATGGCCCCTCCACAGAGAGGGAGGCATGGGGCCATGTTGCTGACCTGCCCTCATCCACGCACCTGAGGCTCCCAGGGCTGGGCCCTGGGCCTTTGTGCCCATCACCTCCCCATGTCTCCAGGCCCTCCCAGGGCTGCCCTGCCCTGCCCCTTCCCTGTGAGGGCCACGGGGCAGGAGACCCTCTCTTAGTTCGTCAGCCCCCCGGCTCGAAGTAGGGTTCCTGCTTGCTGGCTCCCTAGCCGCCCCAACCCTCGCCCCTTTCTACCATCTCTAACCTGTGCAGCTGGCAGTGGGCCCCGCTCCGCCCACGCTCTGGACCTGGAGGCTGAGGAGGAAAGGGTGCGTCTGTGTGAGGACCGCCTGGGGCTCGCCAGCCGGGAGCTGCTGCTGCAGTAAGAACCGGGCTGCAGCCTTCGGGGTGGGGTCCGGGCCGTGCCTCTGGGCTCACCCGATAGTGCCGTGTGGGATTACGTGGCCGCTGTGTCAGGTTTTGTGGCCTGTCTCGGGCACAGCTGTGCACCCACCCCAGGCTTTGCTGGAGTTTCTGTCCCTGTTGGAGGGAGTTCTACTAACTCCCCCTCTGCTGGGGGACTGCTGCTGGGGCAGATCCCTCTGGTGCTGAGCATGACCCCGAGGGGTGAGGTGGAGGAGCTGGGCCAGGGGTGGCAGCTGTGCTGAGCCCCCACCCATCCCCCATGACATACAGGGACAACAAGGACCTCGTGGAGTTTGCCCGGATCCACCCGTCAAGCGGCTGCCCTGGAGACCTGGCCCCCCATCTCATGATCGCCGGGGGCTCCTCCCTGCAGAGCAGCCAGCTGGGCGGGGACCCGGCCCCCCATCCCCACCCTGCCCACCCCCCCTGGCTGCCCCGCACCCGCAGCCCCTCCCTGTGGATGGGGGGACATTCCTACGGTCAGTGCTCTGAGGGCAGGTAGGGGTGCATGGGGCAGGACAAGAGTCCTGGCCGGGCGTGGTGGTCATTGCTGGCCTGGGGCTGACAGCCCTCAGCCTGGAGCCCTGCTTCCTGCCCCACACTGCCTGACCTCAGTGCCCTGTCTCCCCAGGCCTCGGGCACCCTGCCCTGCACCAGAACCTGCCCCCCGGCTTCCCTGCGTCTGTGCCTGGCTCCATGCCCCCCGTCTTCCCCCTCCCCCAGGACGCCCCCACACAGCTCGTCATCCTGCCTTCTGAGCCCACGCCCCACGCCGCCCCCCACGCGCTTGGTAAGGGCCTCCCGGGCCAGGCTGTTTGCATGTGCGGCTGTCAGAAGTGGGTCTGAGGAAGGGAGCGGCCCCCCACGGGGGTTGGGGAAGGGACAGGGAGGCAGGCACCCGGCCAGAGCCCGGGAGGCAGGTGCGAGGCGGTCGAGCGGGAGGTGAGGGCTGGAAGAGGCCCGCTCGGTGGCTGGGATGCAGCCCGGCGCCCTGTCCCTGCCGGGGCTGACGAGCCCTTTGGCCCGGCCCACAGCTGATGTCATGGACCAGGCTTCACTGTGGCCCCCCATGTACGGGGGCCGGGGCCCTGCCTCCCACATGCAGCACCCAGGCCAGCTCCCTGTCTACTCGCGGTCCCAGTTCCTACGGCAGCAGGAGCTCTACGCCCTGCAGCAGCAGCAGCGGGCCGCTCAGGCTCTGGAGCAGCAGCGGGCCACCCAATTCCAGGTACCTGCGCCCTCGGCCACACCCAGTTGGGACCCAGGGCACTGCTGGCTGCCTCTCTGCTGCAGCCTGGCCTGGCCCAGGAGTCCCCACTGCACACTCTTCCCACCCCTGCCCCACGCTGATGTGATGCCCTGAGCAGGGGGCCCAGCCGGGCTGAGCCTCTGCCCCAACCCAACAGCAGAAGCCTGAGGACCGCCACCTGGAGCTGGAGGAGCCCGCCCAGGAGAAGGCCTTGAAGTCCACCCACAAGCCAGTTGCCTTAACCCCCACGGCCAAGGGCACCCCCTCACCCGCCACCGCAGGCCCTGCCAAGCTGTCACCCTGCTGCCACTCTCCCGCCCCGAAGCCCCCCGCCGCCAGCTGCCCTACACCACCACCGCATCCTGGCGCCCCGTGCACTTTATCCGTCTGCCCCACCGGCAGCCCCGGGCCAGGCTCCAAGCTGCCCAGCGCCGAGGAGGAGAGGGGGGAGGGCCAGCGGCGCGGAGCCGACCTCAACACGCTGGAACCAGGTGAGAGCGGGCGGCACTGGGCTGGCCTTGGCCTGCCCCCCCCAGCCCTGTCACTTGTCTGGTGGGCAGAGTTGAATGGCGGACAGGGCTGCCTGGCTTGGCACCTTCAAGGGTGTCCTCACCGACGCAGTCCCGCCAGTAGGGCCTGGGGCAAGGTCGCCTGTGCCCCTGCTCTTTCTCTTCCTCCTTCTCCACAGTCCTTCTGGGGGACCCATAGGGGGGGCACTCAGGGCCCCCGCCCCTGGCAGATGGGGCAGGAGGAAGGTCAGGCCCAGCCGGCTGGCACTGGAGCCTTGTGGATAGGGAAGCGCCTGGCCTGCCGGGGACACTGGCAGGACCACAGGGCAGCAGCCACGAAGCTGGGCAAGGGAGCTCATCCTCACTGTCAGGGCCCGAAATGCCACCACTTGGGCCCAAGGCAAGGAGCAGCAGCCTGTGGTGGAGGGTCCAGGCCCGGCCTCGGCCTCTGCAGCTGCCCTCCCAGCTCCTCCCCAGCTATTTGATTCTCTCTGAATTAGGCTGAGAGTGTACACGGGAAGCCCATGTGGCGAACATAAAATTCGTCCCAGTTCTACAAGAAGGAGGCTGAAGCCATCCGAGGTTGTTGGGTGGTTTTTTTTAGAGTTTTTTTCCTTTTTTTTTTCTTTTATTGTAGTTAATGGGGCATAATGCCTCCGACAGGCTGCCAGCTCGTTCTGGTTCAGGGAAAGCCCTGATTCAAGTATCTTGTTTTAAAATCCCCCTTTTCTGGTTAGCCACACCACACAGACCAGAGATGGCCTCCAGGGACCGCCATGGACCCCCCCCCCGCCCCACCCCCACACGAGGCAGTGGCCCAAGCTGGGGAGCACACAGCTGTCCTGGCCAAGGAGGAGGGCCTGGGGGCTTCCCCTCCTGTACCCGGTGCTCCCCTGCTGCCCCCCTCAACATACCACGTCCCCATTCCTGCCTCACACATTTCACAGGCAGAGTGTTGACTGGGGTCCCTCCCCGCCGGGTGTGGGTCTGAGGTGTTTGAGGTCACCCTCACCCCCAGGTGCTCTCTCCTGACAGCGCCCTCTTTTGCAGACCTGCCTCCCGGATACACGTGCCCTGCGGCCGGCTCGGGCTTCTCCCTGCCCCGCACTGTGCACTCATCTGACCTCTCGGACCCCGAAACTATGCAAAGAGCCCCGCCGGGGGCCCAGCCTGAGCTGGCCAGGACGTTCCCACCCGGGGACCTGGGCCCACACAGCCCCCAGAACCTGGAGGAGCCTGAGCTGCCCTCAAGGGCCAGGGAGGCCACCCAGGACCTTGCCGCACACCCCCACCCTGCCGAGCGGGGACCCCCGGGGAAGGCAGCGGACCCCAGCCCACTGGAGGGGCTGCGAGAACTGCGGTGTGGGGCCCTCCTCGAGGGAGGGGGCCCTGAGGCCACTGGCCAGGCTGATTCTACTCAGGGAGGGGCCCAAGAGGAGAGGACCACAGAGGAGGGACGGGAGGAGGGAGAGCAGGGGCCCTCGTTGGGGGCCAGCCCCCAGGCCGTGGAGCAGCCAGCAAGGAGCCTGGGTGCCCCGGATCAGGCCAAGCCGGGCGAGCAGCAGGCCCCTGCAGAAGCAGAGGCGGAGGAGGCGGCCAAGTTCAAGGAGGCCAAGCTGGAGGAGGAGGAGGAGGAGGACTGGGGGCTGACTCCCGACAACAGCCAGCCGCCCAGGGAGCTGCCGGGTCTGGACGCCCTGGTGGCAGCCACCATCAACCTGGGGGATCTGCCTGCTGTCAGCCCACTGGACCCTCAGCCCCCCACTGTCCCTGGGCCACCCAGCACAGCTCCCCTGCCCCGTAGCTCAGGGATTCATGGCATTGCCCTGCTCAGCGAGCTGGCCGACCTGGAAATCCAGCAGCAGAGGACTGAGCCAGACCTGCAAGGTAAGCCCCATCCCTCCGGAGCCCCAGGAGCTGGACCCTTGGGCATAGGCTCAGGGTCAGCCGGCCAGTGGCCTTCAGCCCTGCTCCATTGTCCCCACAATGTGGCCCCTTGTCAGGAAACCAGGCAGGTGTGCCCACACGGTGTTACCCCCAGCCCTGGCTGCAGGATGAGCCATGGGGTAGGGCCTCAGGGCCAGGACTGCACCCTGATGATGGTGTCAGAAAGGTGGCTGTGGATATTCACGATGCCCTGAAGGGGCTTGAGGGTGTCTCCAGTTTACACACAAGGATGCCAAGGCCCACAGGGGTGGAGGTGGGGGTGTCAGGTCACTAAACTACGGCCTCACAGCCAGGAAGTGGGTAGGAAAGATGGTGCTCTCGCTATAAGCTTTCGCCTCCTTGGGTTCTGCAGCTTCCGAACCTAGCCTGCACGGGGCCCAGCTCAGGACGTGGCAGCCCTCGCCTCCCAGGCCCCGGGGAGGTGGCACCCGCCACGTTCCCCTCAGCCTCACTAGGCCTTGGGGCTGACCTGTGGGACAAGATGCTCCTGGTCTCCCTGCACCCTGCCCAAGGTCCCCAGGGTGCCAGCCCAGGGCTGGTGCCGCCCTGACTCGGACCAGAGCCCAAGGGCCAGGTGTTTGCTTAGGCCTCTCTAGCACTTAGGTCCCCCACAGGGACCCCTGCCGGGCGCTCCCTGCCAGAACCCCTCAGGGGGTGGGGGGAGCACCCCCAGCCAGGCTTTGTGCCCCGTTGATATTTATAGAAAGAACCCAACGAAGTCCTCAGCTGGCCCACTCGTTTTCCCACCGCGTGAAGCTCTCCACTGCCCACTGCCAGCCGCCAGCACCTCTTGTGCTGCGTGGAGATAACGGGAAGGTTCTTGTAAAGTTAATTTCCCTGAAGGTCTCTGTGTCACTCCTCTCCTGTCTGACCAGAGGGGCCACCACTGTGCTGAAGAGAGTAAGCTGGGGAGCCCTTGCCGGTCAGGAACTCTGGGAGGGCCTCGCTTGGAGCTGTAACGTGAGGCGGGGCTGCCCCAGTCAGGGCCTTGCTGCCCAGAGCCACCGAGTGAGTGTGGCTGGCGTGAGGGTGCACTGAGCAGGCTGCCGGGCGCCATGTGTGTGGCCACCGGTCTGTGCATGTGAATGCCTACTGGACTCGTGCCCATTCATTGAATGGATGCTCACGTGTAGACCACGTGTGTCCCATTGTGGGTATTGCAGCTGCCAGCCCAGGCCAGGCCCTGCTGCCACTGCTGGGTCTCCACCTCACCCTTCCCTTCTGGAACCTTCAAACCCCCCTCTCCCCTCCTGTTTCTCCCAAGACCCCCGCCCTCCCCTCTTGGAGCCCTCAGGCCTTCACCCTCCCCTCCTGCTGCTCCCAGGCCCCCACCCTCCCTCTGTCCCAGTTAATTGGCCCGTCTGCGCAGCCTCTCAGCTCTAGAGCCATTCCCTACAAGCTCAGTGACTGCTTTGCCTGAAATTACTTAGGAAATCAGCTCATTTTCTGAGCAAAAGGCAGGACTCACAGAGAGAGAAGGCAGGAGGAGGCCATGCCGGGAACAGGCCAGGGTACAGAGGGGAGAGGGAGGGGTAAAGATCCAGAGGGACATCGGGGCCTCCTGCCCGCTCCTCCCAGAGGAGACCCCCTGAAGTACCTCCCAGGCCAGGCAGAGCTGGTGAAAGCCCAGGTGGCGGCGCCTGAGAAGTGGGGGTGAGGAGGTAAGCAGGTTCTGAAAGGTGACATGGCCCCCAACTCCCATAGCTGGGCCGAGTGGAGCTGGTGTTCAGGTCCCGGGCTCTTTGCTCCCAGGCTGGGGCCAGCCCCACCCTCACTGATGTGGGCGTCCAGAGCCCTCACATCCCCCACCAGTAGGACTTGGCCGCAGGACCCTGCTTATCCCCCACCTGGGCTCAAGTCCAGGGAGCTCAGTGGGCAGGCTGCCCAGCCCACGGACCTCCATCGCAGGGGGGCAGGGACTCAGGCCCCAGATGGAGCCCTGGGGTGGGAGGGAGTCGGACACTTCTCTGGCCATTCACTTGGCTGGCGTGGATGGTGGGGCCTGCCTGCAAGGGCCCATCCCCAAGACACCCAAAATGCTCCACTCTGCATTTGGAGGGGCCACTGGGGGGCACGGTGCCCACTGGGCTTCCCATCCACCCTGGAATTTTGGGAAGGCCAGGCCCTGTCCCTTCCGGAGTATGGTTGCCCCTTGTTCCTGAGTGACCCACCTGGTTTAGGTGAGTCAAGATCCCAGACCCCCCTTTTGAACTGCCCTGCTGACCTGCACCCCTCCTCCCACCTTCTCCTGGCCCCAACAGCTTGTTCCTGCCTGGCTGGTTGGGGGAAGTCCAAGCCTTGGCCCTCTTCTGTGCCTGTGGAGCCCTCAATCTGCCTGGATAGCCCAGCCCTACATCTCTCCCCGGACAGGGATTACAGACCCCGGAGGCTTGGGGGTGGGGCTGTTATTGTCGCCGCACAGCTCCCTGAACTGGAGAGCAAGGCCTGTTGTTGTTTGGAGGCCAGAGAAGAGCCCAGCAGCACCACCACCCCTGCCATCTCCCTGAGCCCACCATCCCCTCGCAGAGCTCACCCTGCAGGACTTTGCAGTCTCAGCAGGTTTAGCCTGAGGAGTGGGGGCCGGGGTGGGGGGGCTTCAGGGAGGAACAGAGGGGCTTCCTAGCAGTCACAGTGACCCCAAGAGACGAGGAGACCCTGTGGAACTTTTAGCTGAAATGGGGCTTGCAGATATCCCTGCCCCAGCTGGAGGTGGGAGGAGAAAGCCCCCTCAGCGCCTCCCCCACCTTCCCAGGGCACCTTTGACCCAGCAACCCACCTCTGGCCTTGACCCAGCACTGCGTACAGAGGGTTGAACTTCCGGTGTCCACCTGTGCTTTGTCCCATTACTGAGGGTGGGTCACCGTGATGACTCCATCAAGGCTAGGGCTGGGCACGTCCCCTTTTGTAGTTACTAAGTATTTCGTGGGGAGGGACTTTGAAATGGTGTGATATCCCCTTCCTCTTCAAACATTGGATTCATTTATGTATATCAGTGTGACTTGTGGATTTTTATTTGCTTCGATCCGTTATAATTTGTCACTGTCACTAGTTAATTATGGTGATTGAATTGTCTCAGATTTGGCCCCTTCAGCTGGGTCATCCTCTGAGAACTTCCTGGGTTCCTAGCTCACTCCGAACCTCCCAGTCCCTGGAATCAGCCATTTCTCCAAGGATCCCAGTTCCCTTCCTCAGAGAATTTTAGAAGCCAAGTTCAGGGTGCTAGGTGTGATCGTTGCTACTGGGGTGTTGCTGCTCTCAGGCCTTCTCAGAGGGCAGAGCTGGCTGTGTGTTCTAGAAATCACGACTGCCCACTGACACCTCCAGCTCTAGGCACCCTGTCTGACCCCACAGGGCTCATCCTGGCTGATTCCTTCCCCAGCTGTAACTCCTCATACCATCAGCCCACCTGTGCATGCCCAACCCCCATTTCTGCCACCACCCTCTCCCCATGGTTGCACTCAGTCCCAAGTCTCCACTCCAGGCCTGTCCCCTGGATGGACACTGCCCTCCACTGGCTCGGCTCTGACCCTGCACTGGGCCATCCCTCCCCACCCACTAGGGCGGACTCTCCGGGTTTTCATGGATCTGGAAGAGGGCAGAAATGCAACGCGGTTTCTGTTAAGAGCATAACAAGCCACGTGCCTAAACGGTTTGGGCACTGTCCTGAGGACCTGTGCCATCCCAACTGGCCTGGCCCACAGTAACCAAGGGTGACATCTCTCCCACCCAGAGCAGAGGCGAGTGCTAGGTGCCCATCTCATTGTTCCAGGCCGCCTCACTCTGCATGTCTCAGGGAGTCCAGCTGCCTCCGGGCGCCTGGGCGTGGGGGGTGGGTACACAGGGTAGGAGGGAGTAGTCTGGGCTGTGCTGAGATGCAGGCTGACATCAAGAGCCTCTCGCACACACACTGACGCTCATGTCCCCCGCAGAGGAGGAGGATGTGCTAGCCTTCAACCTGCAGCGCCTGGCCACGCTGGCCTCAGCCTGGTCCCTGGTAGAGGCTGCTGGCCTGGACAGCCCCGCCTCCGTGGCCCAGCCCTCCACTGCCGACTCCTGCAGGGCTCCCACGCTCACCCCCCGTATGCAGATCCTGCAGCGCAAGGACACCTGGACCCCCAAGACCAAGCCTGTGAGTAGGGGGCCCTGGTCACCCCCATTGCCCAGTGCCGTGACCTGGGGGAGGCCTCGAGTGCCCAGGCTGCCCACCTACCCACCCCATCTTGGTCCCCTAGCTGGGCTCACAGGCTCCTGTGCCCCTGCCTACTAGGTATGCCCACTGAAGGCTGCCATCGACCGGCTGGACACACAGGAGGTAGAGATGCGCGTGCAGCTGGCGGAGCTGCAGAGACGCTACAAGGAGAAGCAGCGGGAGCTGGCCCGGCTGCAGCGCAGGCATGACCATGAGTATGGCCCAGGCTGGCAGTGGGGTGGGGAGGGCTGGAGCGTGGCTTGGGGAGACACCCCCATTTCAGGCACTGGGGCAGACGTGGGCACAGCCCAGCCCAGGGCCACTGCCTTGTGGGAAGAGGTCAACCTGTGTGTGCTGGGCTGAGTTGGGCCAGAAGTGGGGGCCTGGGAGGGTCCCCAGAGGTAGTGGAAGGTTGAGGCGTTCACTCAGTGGAGAAACCAAGGGAGAGCGGGGTGGGGGGGTGGAAGAACCACCCAACAGAGACTGGTGCAAGGCAGAGGCCGGTCCTCATGATAGGGGGCAAAGGGTGAGAATAGTGAGAGGGTGCTGAGAGGGTGCTGGGAGGCCGGGGCAGGATTGGGGTGTGGGAGGGCGGAGGGAACCCCTAAAGTTGCCGTAGCAGTGCGGGGAGCTCACCTGACTGGAGTGTGCAGGACGGCTGGAACTGGGAAGCAGGGATGGTGGGGGCAGCGGGGACGCTGGCTCAGCCTTGCCCTCTGTTTGGGGACCAGGCTCCCGCCAAATCTTGGGAGGGCCCGCCCCCCGCCACAGCCCCTAAGGGTATTGCCCTCTCCTGGACCCCTGTCAGGGGGCCAGGACAGGCGTCAGCCTCTGACCACCCCTCCTGTGGCTCCCAGAAGAGACGAGAGCTCGCGGAGCCCTGCCAGGCGAGGGCCCGGCCGGCCACGGAAGCGCAAATACTCCAGCTTGCTGCCTGCCCTGCGACCCAGCGAAGGCAAGAAAGTCAAGTGAGTCTTGCATGCATGGGCCCCGTGGGGTGCCTGGGGCCGGAGGTTACTCAGTGGCGCTGGGCTGGCCCAGATGCCCTTGAGGCCCGGGCAGTGGGGGCTGGGCTCCTTTCTGGCTTCCGTGGCCGCTGGGCCTCCGTCACAGCTTCTCCCGAAGACCCAGAACCCCGGGCCAGGCGCGGTGGGGAGCGTCTGGGGCACTGAGCCCGTAGCAGACAAGCCCCTCCTCCTGGGCCTAGGGCGTGCCCACACCAGCGCCACGCACCTGGCCGTGGCTGGCTGGGGCCGTGGCATCCCTCCTGCCAGGCCCCAGCCCCAGCCCGGCCCCACGAGTGCGAGGCGGCGTTGCGTAAAAGCCTCTTTATCTGCACCGTATAGAGTCGTTGGTCACGCTGCGGTGCTGCGCACGGCTGCCGGCGCGCGGTTATTATCCATTACCCGCCCGGCGCAGTCATTGGCACACTCCCGGGCCTGGTATAATTGTCCTTCTCGGCTACAAATTGCCTCTCCCGGCAGGCCCATTTGCATAAATCCTCGAGCTCCTCCAAACACGATTGGCGCGGCGTGTGCGCACTGCATCAATCCTGATGATTTGGTAATAATAGTTAAATCGGCACTAAATGGTTCCTTCAATTAAGACAGAGGCAAAAAATTAATCTCAGGGCTTTATGTCACAAAACATTAGCAAACGTGGAGAAGGTTACAGGGAGGGGAGTTCGCGTAAGCTGCTGCAGACGGGGAGGGGATGCACCATATGGCTGGGCGGCCTCCCCAGGCTGTCCCTCCGCCCTGCCCAGGTGTCACTCGGCGGGGGCTCCAGGGGCCTCCCTTTGAGGACCAGCCAGAACTGTAGGGGCTGCTGGCTAAGACCAGGGCCTGGCAGGGGGCCCTGTTGGGGAGCCCCTGGCGAAGCTGCCCCATGCTTTGCTCGAGCCCGCCTGGCGCCAAGCCCCTGCCTGACCCTGGAAGCCCCATCCTGGTGCTTGCATTGTGGCCACTTTCTCCACTGACCTGAGAAAACAGGCCCTGGCTGGACAGGGAAGGAAGCCAAGGCCAGGGCCCTCCCTTCCTAAGGATCGGGGTTCCCTCCCGCCCTCTCCCCATCTCAGGCTCCTGCCCACTCTCCATCCCTCTGGGGGGCCCCTGCCCTTCAGTAGCTGCTGACAGTTGGGCCCAGGCAGGAAGTGGGAGGGCCGAGGCCCGGGGGGCCAAGCATGGTTCCGGACCGGCTTCCTGCCTGGCCTCTCTGGGCAGGAAGGTAAAAGTTGACGTCTGGCCGCACAAGGACAGGGCCCTCAGCCTCCATCTGTGACTCATTTTCATTAATGCTATGTGGGTAAGGGAGGGAGTAGGTGAGAGGCCTAGCCCCCAGCCCCCGTCTGGCAAAGGACAGGCAGCCAAGCTCCCAGCCTCACACCTGTGGGACACAGGGAAACAGGCTCAGAGTCAGCAGCTTCCAGGGCCCCATCTGGGAGCTGGGTGGGGGGTGCAGAGTTTCTCCTTTGAGATGGAGAATTGAGGGCAGGGGACAAAGCTCTGAGGGGTCTGAGCCCAGCACTGGGGGTCCCTGGGGGCTAGGAGGCAGAGCCTGGGCACGAGTTTCTCTGGCCGCTGTCCCCCACATCCTCTTCCTGGCAGTGGCAAAGATGCTCGGGGTGGATCTCTTTCTCAGGGGCCTCTCCTGATGCCCTCTTTGTTCCTAACTGAGGTAGCTGCTGGCCTTTGCACTCACTAAGTGACCTTAGTGAGTGCAAAGGCCAGCATGATCCCACCCCAGCCTTGCACAGAGGCACAATTTAAAGCATCCCCATTTTCCAGGTAGACAGACTGAGGCCACAGCCCAGGTCACACAGTGGCCCAGCTGGCCACAGAGCCCTGGCCCCCGAGCACTGGGCTGCCCCTCCCCGGTCAGTGGGCAGAGGGGGCTAGCTAGGTAGCGGGGGCCGGGGGGCTCAGCACTGGCTTGGCCCCCCTGGCCTCCCAGCAGCTCTGTGTGCTTAGAGGAGACTGGCCCAGGGGCACAGCCTTGGCCAGGAAAGAAGCAGGGCCCTTACAGGGGCCAGTGGGTCTCCCAGACATGCAGCTGCACCACACGACCCACCGTGGTGCCCTGGCTGCTGCCACAGGGACTGTCTCGGGGACAAGGCCCAGGTGCCCAGGTGTGACCCGTGCCCCCCGTGCTCCCAGGGCAGTGCGGTCCAGCCTGAGCCTGCTGTGCACCGAGCTGCGGGGCGGCGATGATGAGCCCTCGAAGAAGCGAGGCCGGCTGGAGAAGGGCGCCTACGTGGGCCTGCAACCCGCATCTGCGGTGAGTCCCACAGCAGCCTCACCCTCAAGCCCGGGTGCAGGATGTCAGATGGACAGGACAGGGGGGCAGGCGGTAGACCAGCCCCAGGCCAAACACTGCCACCCTGCCCTGCCCCGTGTCACCATCCGGCTGGGGCCCCACTGCTCAGATGAGCAGACAAGGTCCAGGGAGCTTCATGTGCGTCACACAGAGGCGAGCCTCTGAGGCTGCCGGTATGACCCGGGGCTGGTTATGCTCCATGACCCCTCCCTTCCCTCTGCTCACTCCAGCGGGAGGAAAGCAACACACAGCTATCACAGGTCACAGGAAGACTTTTCGGGAGGGAGGGCCCACGATGTCCACCATGTCAAGTGCATACCTGGTGTAGTGGGTGGACCAAGGGCACTGCCCCTCCCTTGGGACAGGCTTCCCCAGGGGTGCCAGCACCCCATTCCTTCTCAGTGCAGTGGGTGCCTCCCACCCCTCACCTATTCTAGGGTCCTGGGAGGGACAGGTGAGAGGTGGGTCCGAGTCTGTTGTCACTTTGCCTGTCCCTCCCAGAGCAGGAGGCTGGTCCCTCTCTCTAGGACATGACAAACACTTGGGCCCTTGGCCTCCCTCCGCCAGGCTGAGTAGGCTGGGCCATCCGGGGAGGCTGTGAAATGGGGGACAGGACAGGCACAAGTTTAGGCTCCAGTGGGCAGGCCCCGTGCCCCGGGGCCAGATTCCCTCTCAGGCATTGTGGAGGGCAAGGCCAGCGAAGTGCCACCTTCCAGCCCCAGCCCTGGCAGAGGGGAGGCCGAAGGTCGCAGGGCCGTGGCTCAGGGTGGGGGACCCGGTGACTACAGTTTCCGCCTGCCCGTTTACTACAGGAGAAGGTTCGGTGCAAGAAGAGCAGCGGTCAGGGCGACCTGGCATCTGCAGTGGCCCACAAGGTGGCCCAGCTGAAGCCGAAGGTCAAGAGCAAGGGGCTGCCCACCAGCCTCAGCCCCTTCCGGCGGAAGGAGGCCACCCCAGGGGGCCGCATCCGGAAGAAGCTGTCGCGAGCCAAGAGCGCCAAGGTGTCTGGGGCCGCCCGGCACCCACAGCCAGATGGTGGCGTTGCTGGCAGGGAGACACCTAAGTTCCCAGCCCAGCCGGCAGCGGCCGCAACACATGAGGCAGGCAAGTTGTTGGTCTGAGCAGCACAGCCAGGACCTCCACGTCACTGGAGGCTGGGGGAGTGGGTGGGCGGGAGCTGGGACAGCCATCAGAGCCTGGTCAGGGCTCATTGCGTATGCCGGACACAGGGAGAAGCTCTCACTGGCCCAGGATGGGTTCTCCGTGCCCCACCCCCACACGGGGGGGCCACAGGGAGAAAAGAGGCTGCTGGATGCATCCTGGAAAGAGGGGCTAAAAATAGCCCTTCTGTCTGCTCCAGCCTGCCTTCCTGCAGTGTCCGGCCGGGTGACCTGGAGGGGTTATCTGGCCCCCAGCAAACACACATGTCCAGAAACAGGAGCCTGGAAAAATAGATGCTTCCTCCCTGCCAGCCCCTGCCCACTCCCCCAGGTCCCGCCTGAGAAAGAACAAAGGGAGGGAAGAGGAAGCAGGAAACAGGAGGGCATCTGGCAGGGGGACGAGGGAGGGGAAGGGGCTGCCCTGGGGAAGGGGGTCCCCAGGCCTGCAAGGCGGGTGCTCCAGTGCCCAGCACACGAGAAAGGAAAACTGAGGCAGAAAAAGGGAGGGCAGAGAGGCAGCCCCTTCTCCTTTCTGGTCCAGACACCCTCACCTGGACTCCTGGCCCAGGTGCCTGCCCTCGAAGCAGCCCCGGGATGACAGTGACGGGCTCCACTCAGCCCCCAACACATCCATACATGCAAATGCTCCGCTCCCCCGACCCCACCCCAAAATGGCACTGCTCTGATGCCAAATCACCTGGACCACCCGCCTCTCCCCAGGCAGCGGCTCGGACAGTGAAGACTGCGAGGGTCTGTTGGAAACAGAGGCACCTCCCAAGGAGCCCGGGCTGGCACTGCGCGCTGGGGCCCGCGCAGCCGTGCTGCGGCCCTCGCCCTCCTCCGTGGTCAAGATGGAGGCCAACCAGAAGGCCAGGAAGAAGAGGGAGAGGCAGGGCTGGCCAGGTACCCAGGGGGTGAGGGCGCGCTGGGGCGGGCCTGGCCGATGAGGGCCCCCGCCGGCGGCTGGGGCTCCTGCGACGGCTTCCCTCCCTCCCTCCCCAGGGGCCAGCCGCCTGTCAAGCCCCGAGAGAGAGGTCAAGGTCAAGAGGAGGACGGTGAAGGCCAAGGTGGGCAGCAAGCTGGAGCAGGCCCCGGGGCGCGGGCCCCCAGGTGGGCCCGGCAAGAAGAAAGCCAAGGGCAAGGCCAAGGGCAGCCTGCGGGCAGAGCCGGGGGCCACACCCGGCAGGGAAGCCCTCTGCAGCCCCACCCGGGCCTTCACCTGCCCCGAGGAGGGCAGCAGGCTGGCCAGTGAGCGCCTCAAGAGAGCCACACGCAAGAGCACGGTGCTGCAGCCAGGGCTGCGGGTGAGGGCCAGTGGGCGCCCCAGGGTCCTGGGCCCAGCAGGGTGGGTGCCAGATGTGAAAGGCCTTCGGGGACATTTACTCCACTCTTTTTCTCTACTTGCTACACCAAGTCACACTCTGGGACTCATATTCAGGGTCACACTCAGGGTCAGCCTGAGTCACACCATGGTCAGGCTGGGGGCAGGAAGGCTGGTGCCACCCTCACCTCAGCCCCTCCCCTCCGACAGCGGAAGAACGGGGCCCTGTCCATCGCCCTGTCGCCCCGCAACGCCAAGGCCATCCTGGGGAGGGGCAGGAAATCGGGCAAGGTGAAAACCAAGGCTGCCGGCAAACAGGTAGCATCCCCACCCCGACCTTGGGACCCAGCCAGCCCAGACCTCTCCTGCCCCTCCCAAGAGAGCTGACACTTCTGACCCCCTAGGGCAAGGGCCGGGCGGTGAGCCGGCTGCTGGAGAGCTTCGCAGTGGAGGACGACTTTGAGTTTGAAGACAGCAGCAGCCTCTCAGAGGAGGAGGAGGCCAGTGGCCCCCTGAGCGCCGAGCAGAGCGCCGCCTTGGGTGAGCGGCCAGGAGGGGATGCTGAGCGTCTGGGGCCAGCAGTGGGCGGATGGGGGCCGGGTGCTGACACCCCCATCTCCCCAGCACGCTCATGCACCATCCACAAGGAGGACCTACAGGACGGGCTGCCCGTGCTCATCCCCAAAGAGGACAGTCTGCTATACGCGGGCAGCGTCAGGACCCTGCAGCCCCCCGACATGTAAGGCCTGGGCGTGCGCAGCGAGGGATGCGGGCCGAGGCCTGAGCGGGAGGTGGTGGATGCGCAGGCCTGTCTCATGCTCCCCCACCCATGCCCCTCAGCTACAGCATCGTCATCGAGGGTGAGAGAGGCAACCGGCAGAGGATCTACTCACTGGAGCAGCTGCTGCAGGAGGCGGTGAGGGGACAGCCCCCGCTCGGCTCACCACCCCAGGGAGGTGGGCCTGGCTGCACCCAGCCCCTCCCGGGCACCCCTTGGCCAGCCCTGCCCACTCACGGCTGCCGCCCCCACTGGTCCCGCAGGTTCTCGATGTCCGGCCACAGTCCAGCAGGTACCTCCCACCCGGCACGAGGGTCTGTGCCTACTGGAGCCAGAAGTCCCGCTGCCTGTACCCAGGCAGCGTAGTGCGAGGTAAGCCCCGCCCAAGGACCCCCAGGGAGGCCCATCAGCCCCTCCCCTTAGGCGAAGCTGCAGATGAGAGACCCGAGTGCCAGGGAGGGGACCCTGTCTCTCAAGGAGGGCCTCCCGCCAGCCCTGCTTCCCAAGCCGGAGCCGGTCAGACAGAGCAGGTGATAACATCAGCTCCCTGGTTGCCAGGAAAAGGCGAGGGGGGACCTGGGGTGAGGACAGGGTGGAGCCTCTGACTGTCCAGAAGGCCTAGCAGAGAAGGGGCCCCAGAGCCCCAGACCTGAGGGTTATAAACTGGTCACCTGGGCACCAGCTTTCCTGGGGTAAATCCTTCTGCCCCCTCCCCCAGGCACAGGATGTGGGGACCCTGCGGTCTGACAGGTGCGGGGGCACGGGCGCGGGCAGGCCTCAACCAGGCATGTGTTTGCACACATGCGCGTGTGCGTAGGGGGAGGTCGGGGCCCCGCGTCCCTGTGAGTGTGCCCTGGGATGCGGGTGATGGATGGCGGTAATATTGCCTCTCCGGCCGCACTCCGGGAGGTGGAGGGGAGGCAGGCTGCTCCCAGCTGCTATGGCAGTCCAAGGTCAAATGTGATCAGAGAGCAGAATATCCCAGCATCATCTGTCAGGCGCTATGGAGCCCGTCCTGTCATCCTCCCGTCCCGGCCACCCGGCCACCAGGGAGAACCCCGTGGGCCCCGAGCAGAGGGCTCCGTGCTCAGGTGGGCCCTGTCTCCAGGCGCCTCCAGTGATGAGGAAGACGACCTGGACTCCGTGGTGGTGGAGTTTGACGATGGGGACACTGGCCACATCGCTGTCTCCAACATCAGGCTGCTGCCTCCGGACTTCAAGATCCAGTGTGAGCCCCAGGGCCCTCCAGCGTGGGGTCCTTACATTTCTGGGTCAGCCCCTATGGCTGGAGTCGGGCTGGGCCTCCCCTGGGTCCAGAGAGTCTCCCAAGGAGGGAGCAAGGGGAGGTGGTCACCCTGGCAGCACAGCGCTGAGGCCACTGGTCCACTCTGCAGGCACAGAGCCCTCGCCAGCCCTGCTGGTGTCCAGCAGCTGCCGAAGGACCAAGAAATCTTCCTGCGAGGCACCCCCACCTGGTGAGGCCACCGCTCCCAGCCTGTCTCCCAAGGCACATGATGGCCCTGAAGCCTCAAAGACCCCCGGGAAGAAATCCGTAGGCAAAGACAAAGCTGGTACTCGCGGGACTGCGGGGACCTCGGGTGGGGAGGCACCCTCGGGAGTGGGGGGCAAGAAGGGGCGGGCAGGTAGTTCCTCTGACTCTCCCTGGCCTCTCCCCAGGCAAAGCGGAGCTCCTGGCCTCTGGTACCAAGCCCTCCGCGGGGGCCTCAGACCACTTCCTGGGCCGCCGGGGCAGCCCGCTGCTGAGCTGGTCAGCGGTGGCGCAGACCAAGCGGAAGGCGGTGGCCACGGCCGCAGCAGGTGGCAAGGGGCCGGGCGTGCTGCAGAACCTCTTCCAACTCAACGGCAGCACCAAGAAGCTGCGGGCCCGCGAGGCGCTGTTCCCCGTCCACAGCGTGGCTGCTCCCGTGTTTGGCAACGGCTTCCGCGCCGACTCCTTCAGCAGCCTGGCCAGCTCCTACGCTCCCTTTGTCGGCGGGGCTGGGCCCGGCCTGCCCGGGGGTGCCCACAAGCTGCTGCGGGCCAAGAAGGCCGAGCGGGCGGAGGCCGAGAAGGGCGGGCGGCGGCGGGCGGGCGGCGAGTTCCTGGTCAAGCTGGACCATGAGGGCGTGACCTCCCCCAAGAGCAAGAACTGCAAGGCGCTGCACGCGGGTGACAAGGATGTGGGGCCCAGGCCAGGGAGGCCCCTGCCCGGCCCCAGCTACGGGCACCCGGCCCTTGTGGGCAAGGACAGGAAGGGGCGGTCGCCTGTCCACCCGCTGCCCATGGGGCTGGCGCTGCGTAAGTTCACAGGCCAGGCCGAGTACCCGCTGCCCTGTGACAGTGACTGCCACAGCTCCTACTCGGACGAGGAGGAGGACGGGCCTGGCCTGGCCCCCGGCGTGCCCTCCCGCTTCCTCGCCCGCCTTTCCGTGTCCTCCTCCTCCTCGGGCTCATCCACCTCCTCCTCCTCTGGCTCCCTGTCCACCTCCAGCCTCTGCTCCTCGGATGACGAGGGCTCCTCCTACAGCTCAGACGAGGAGGACCCAGCCCTGCTGCTGCAGACCTGCCTCACGCACCCGGTGCCCGCCCTCCTGGCCCAGCCCGAGGCCCTGCGCTCCAAGGGGGCTGGCCCACACCCGCACGCCCAGCGGTGCTTCCTGTCCAGGGCCGCGGTGGCCGGCGGGGGCGTGGGCGCGGGCCCCAGCAGTGGCAGACCCAGGCTCAAGCGCAAGGAGGCCCTGAGCTTCTCCAAAGCCAAAGAGCTGTCCCGGAGGCAGCGGCTGCCCTCCGTGGAAAACCGGCCAAAGATCTCAGCCTTCCTGCCTGCCCGGCAGCTCTGGAAGTGGTCGGGGAACCCCACACAGGTAGGTGGGCCCAACCATGCACACTTACACACAAGACGCACCATCTGTCTCTCCGACACACGCTCTGCGCCTGTCTCTGTCATTCTGTCCTGTGTCCCCTGCCCACCGCCTGTCCCCGAGGCTCCTGTCCTCACTGCCCTCTGCCCCTGGCTGTCTCCTACAGAGACGCGGCATGAAGGGGAAGGCCAGGAAGCTGTTCTACAAGGCCATCGTCCGGGGCAAGGAGACGCTTCGCATCGGGGACTGTGCCGTCTTCCTGTCGGCTGGGCGGCCCAACCTGCCCTACATCGGCCGCATCGAGAGCATGTGGGAGTCGTGGGGCAGCAACATGGTGGTGAAGGTCAAGTGGTTCTACCACCCAGAGGAGACCAAGCTGGGGAAGCGGCAGAGCGACGGGAAGGTGGGGCCTGGGGGGTGGGCAGGGGGTCCGGGGGTATGGGCAGGCTCAGAGTGGGGGGCCTGGGAAGGGGTATCTCAGCAACTGGCACCAGCAGCCAGAATGGGAGTGGTCATCTATGGACATCCCTCGCCCCCGGTTCCCACACCTCAAGGCCTCCCGGCCCAGGGGTGCCGTGGGCCCCACAGGGAGTAACACAGCTGAGGGCTCAGGCCCTGGAGCCAGGCCACCTGGATCCCTCCCCAGCTGGGCCTTTGTGGCTCCCCACGCAATGGGTGACAGTTTCACCTTGTGGGGGGCTGTGGCCCACAGCGGCCTGTAGCACCTGCCCTCAGCAGCCCATGTCCCCCACAACGGGCCCTCTGATCCCTGCCTCCCAGCGTCAACCCAAGACAGAAAATGCCCCCCCAGCTCACTCTCCAGTCTTCCCTGAGAACCATGTTTGCAGACGGTGCAGAAAGAAGTGTTTCTCCAATTCTGCCAGCCCGCTGGGGGTCCGGGTGCAGACCCCGGCCACACAGTTAAGAGCTTATCCAGAACCGAGGGTCCTGGGTCGGGTGGGGTCCGCTGGCCAAGGCCAGACCTGACGCCAAGCACTCCTCGCCCCCCTTCCCCAGCAGAACGCGCTGTACCAGTCCTGCCATGAGGATGAGAACGACGTGCAGACCATCTCCCACAAGTGCCAGGTAGTGGGGCGCGAGCAGTACGAGCAGATGACACGGAGCCGCAAGTACCAGGACCGGCGGGACCTCTACTACCTGGCGGGCACCTACGACCCCACCACCGGGCGCCTGGTGACGGCCGATGGTGTGCCCATCCTGTGCTGAGCCTGCACAGACCGGCTGCAGGTGACCCACCTGCCCCGCTATGCCCAGCGCCAGAGCCACAGGGACGTGAGGACGTGAGGACCCAGCCCCATGCCTCCGAGCAGGAGGCCGGCCCACACCTCGGAGGGGCAGGTCTGAGCAAATATGCAAACCCACCAAGGCAAGATCCAGGCTTTTTTATTATTTTCCCTGGAAGGAGAGAGAGCTTTTGGGCATCAGAACCCAGTTCCATCCGTCTGCTGCGGAGGGTCAGCTGTGCCCCGACTGGGACCTACCGGCCCTCTCTGTTTTCCCACATCGGCAGTTCACGAGAGATTAGAATCCAAGCCATATCTTCCCTAGTACCTCCGACTGTCTCCCACCAGGGAAAGCAGAAATCAGGTGTGTTGTCTATTTATTTCTCTATGTAAATATTGTATCTCTGCGGGAAAGTTTTATGGAAAAAAAGCCGAAAAGGATTTTTTTTTTCCTCACATGCGTAACGAGGGTATGCGTGCGTGAGTGTGTGTGTATGTGTGTCTATGTATGTGTGTGTGTATAGAGATTTTGTTCTAGGGGCGTGGGTTTCTTTGAAAATGCACTGTTTTCCTCAGCCTAGCTGAGTTCCAACTGGGGCGTCTGTGACGACAGAGGCAGCTGGGGGTGGGGGCAGGGGGGCCGGAAGGCACAGGAGAGGTCGGACGGGACCCTAGGTTACACCTGTTGATATCTTGGGGGGGACTGTCTAAGATGGAAGTCACACTCAAGTTTATTTCCTTTTAATTCATCTCCTGGGAAAAAAAGGATTGGGGGACAGGTTTGATGATGAGGGTCCCTTGGGGAGAGAAGGGATGCCAGAAGCAGGCTCCCCAGCCCAAGAGTGTGACAGCAGCCATATATGTATCTTACCTCTGTTTAAAACGAAGCAAAAATGAACAAATATTTTAAACTATCGATAAGAAAAAGTGATGTTTTGATTTTATTTCCTGAATGTTCCAAGTTATTTCTGATTTCCGTCTCAATGGCCAGCTTGTCCAGCCTTCACTCAGAGCAAGGAAGGAACTGGCCCCCGCCAGATCATGTGGAGGTTTCTGGGACTTTTCTGCGGCCACTTGGCAGGGCCGCTGGCCTGGCAGGCTAGTGCTTGGGGCACAGAGCAGGGTTCCCTCCTGCCTACAACCCAGCCTCGGGTGCACGGAGCAGCCCTCTGCCCAGCACCCTGGCTACCGTTGTGCCGCGTGGGTGTCCCAGACCCTCAGCACCACCCCCGTAACCCTGGAGAACTCATCACACCTTCACTTCTCCTGAGGCCAAGAGGGACAGGCAGGGCAAGCCAGACCCGTGGCCCAGCAGCCCTTGTCCCCGAAAATACGCACTGAGGGCCACGTGCTCCCATGTCTCGCCATGCTAAGCCTCCCCTGGCCGCAATGGGAGCCCCAGGAAAGCCCTCCCAAGTTAGCCACTGCTCCTTAGGACGGGCTCTTGTGTGACCCACAGACACAGGCCAGGTACCTGGGAAGTAAGGGATGTCAGTGGGTGCCCGGGCCCCTTTTTCTTTCCAACCGGGAAATCACCCCTCCCCTGCTCCTTGTGGCTCCACGGGAAGTATAGGGACAGAGAGGGGTTCCCCTGCACCCCAGCTTTCTTCTCCCACCCCAACTCTCCGCTTTGTCTCGGCTCGAGTGCAATATTTCATTCTGGTGGTCGTCCTGGAGAGGCGGCTGAGGTCCTGCTGGCGGCTGGGGAAGTGACAAGATGCTGTGGGGCGACGCGGCCAGTGCCAAGGCATGTGTGGGGAAGGCCCAACCACAGAAGCTAGACCCTGAGGCTTCTTCCAACCCCAGGCACCGAGGCAGGAGCGAACGAACAGGCAGCCTTTTCTTGGCCTCCCGCCCTCCCATTGGTTCGTCTCCCTAGTCCGTGGACTTTTGTCCTTTGCTTTTCTCTTCCCATCCCCCTCTGTCCATGTGCGTGCGGACAGCGCGGCCCCTCCCACCATGGTTAAACCTGGCAAAAGCACGACTCTTGTAAATGTGTAAACTAAGAGGATGGTTGAATTTTTTTTTCAATGTAAACACTAAAAACAAACAAAAAAATACAAAGGTTTTATGAACAGCAAACTCTATGTAAAGGCATTTTAGTATTAAATTTTTTATTGATAACTTGCTTAAGAATAAATATATGAACTATTGTGCAGGTTTTCAATGGTCCGGAATCCTAACTTCACCCCGGTGTCCGTGTGCGTGTCCCATGGGGACTCCCTGGAGGCCCCAGAGGCTAGGGTCTCAGCAGATGAGGGACTGGAACATCTGGGTGAGGCCTACCTCGGCTGCGGCAGCCGAGCAGAGCCCCTTGGGGTGCTGGGCCTGTGAGAGGCACATGCAACCAGAATGATTTTGGGGTGGCCTTGGCCTTTGAAACCCCCCAGAATGAGGGTCCCTTATCTTAGTAGATCTCCCCCATGGTGGGTGAGATGTTCAGCCTGAACCAGTCCACGTGGCCAGGCCGGGCGCCCCTGGCGGGGAGGAGTGGAGGGCCCAGACACAGGAGGGAGGGTCGTCCCCACAGTGCAGGGGAGGGGTCTGTGCAGACCAGACAGCAGACGCCCTCCTCAAGGAAGGCATGAATTTACTCATTTGAGAAACATTTTCAGCTGTGCAGGAGTAGTAACCAGCAGTCCTGATCGTTCAACAGTGGGTTGGCCCCCCCAGGGCCTGAGGGGTGTTGGGCGGGGGTACATCTCAATGCATCCCCCAGCCAGAGAGCCCCACCCAGTGAGGCTGCAGCCCCGAGGGCTTTCCAGGAACCCTACCAATTTGGGGGTGTGCTGTTTTTCCTCCACCTCTAGGACCCCCCTGGGGAGTGACCCCCTCAGCTGGGACTGGGGACCCTGATGAGGGGACCCCAGGTCAGGGCAGATAAGCATGGGGCGTGGGGCTGTGACCAGTGTGACCAGCACTCCCCCACCCCCCTCACTCCCCCCCACCCCTGCTGGCGTGTCAGGAGCTGTGGGCAATTTGCACATATGCACAGACAACACTGCCAGCCCACCCACTCTGGGGCTGCCCCGGACCAGCCCTGACCACGCCCCTTTCCCCCGAGAGAACAGAGGGGCAAGACCCCTCCCTGGGATGCAAAAGGACTGGCCAGGGCCCAGAGCGTGGAGACCGAGGCCAGGCGAGGCTTGACAAGCTCTTCCCTTGGCCCCTTCCGAGCCCAGCAAGCAAGAGTGGTTAGAGTGAGACTCCTGAGCCGGCGGCCTGGGGCCATAAGGAGTTGGGACAGACAGTCTGAGTGCCCAGGTTCAGCTGTGCCTGAAGGCAGGCGACCTAGCCCTTGGATTCTCCGAGTCCGTGAGTCAGCAGCCCCCACTTTGTGCAGGTGAGTTGCACAAAGTGCAACCCTCCAGCTGCTCAGGAGGGAAGCCCAATTCCAAGGGCTGCAGCAGGGAGAGGGAGCGAGTAGGTCCAGAGGAGGCCTTGGGACCAGGACGAGTGACAGAAGAGGTCTGAGAAAGGAATGCCTTCGGACCAGGGTTTCTGGCTCAGAGCCCCTCTGTCGGGGGGAAAGGGGGCAGAGACCCCCTGTGGGCCTGGAAGACCCGTCTTCAGTACCTTCGGTTACGTGCTGCAGCAGAGTCCACGCAGGACCTGGGCCAGAGCAGGGAAGAGGGTAGGTGAGGAGCACAGCTGGTGGCCAGGAGGGCCGGAAGCTGGAGCCGCACTGTGGCAGAGGCTAGACCCTGAGGGGTCCTCAGAGCAAGACAGGGTCTGCACTGTCTGCTGGACAATGGGACACACCGAAGGCTCTAGGCAGAGTCCAAAATCAGATTGAGACCACTCGCTCTGTGACTCCAGAGTCAGAGTTACAGGGGCTTGTCCAGCACCTGAGGGAGAAGTTGACACCAGAGAAAGACTCTAAGGGACTGGGGTGGGGGCGGGAGCACAGTTTTAGGCTGGAGGGTGAGGGGGCCCTGAGGGCCAGGAACCAGGGAGGGGTGCCCATGGGCCCAGGAATGTGGGCAGGTGGGGGTGAACTGGGAGGCAGGTGACTACTGGGTCACAGCAAAGTGAGGACCACAGCAGGATTAGGTGAGCCCCCAGGGGCCCATCCCCAGCAGCCCCATCTCCTCCTCCCCTCCCCCACCCACCCCCTCTTCCCAGCTTAACTCAGACAGGCTGGCCCTTGCCTTCCAGAACCTCCTGCCTCCCAGAATAGGGCCTGGGCAAGGGACGGGGGTGGGCACGTGAGGCTGCAGAGCCCCAAGGGTTAAACACACGGGACTACACTTGAATCAAGACAAACGAGCCATTATGTGAAATGCTGAAGCAAGATAAGTGATGGCATTGGGTGAGTGAGATCAATAAAAGTGATGTTTTATCAGGTAGAAATGACAATCTGGCTGATCACAATTTGTTTTTAATACCACAGACCAACCGGGCACAGGGGTTGAAATATTCGTGCCTGGTTGGGGTGAGGTGGCTGGGGGCTGGGTGGGGAGCTCAGACCCAGGCCAGGGATGGGGGAGCTCGGCTCTGCAGCCTAGCCATTAAGAGGTCACCTGGGCACTCAGCCAGCCAAAGGCCGATGACCAGCCAGGCCCTTGGCGGCCTCCTGAGTCTGTGCAGAGGCCCTACCAGGTTAGGAGGGACCCACCTCTGGGGCCCCTGAGTGAGGAAGTGGACCAGGGCAGCACCAAACAGGGTGACCCTAAGGGCTCCCTGGCTCCCAGAGAGAAGCTGGTGTCCGGACCTCCAACCTCCATAACCCCTGCCCCCTGCTGCCACCCACCCCATTCCCCAGGGCTCCCGGTGACAAGCCAGCACCCCTTCCAAGCCATTTCTGCTCTAAAAGTCAGGCCACCTTCTGAGATCCAGGACAGTGACGAGAGCAGGGCTGCTCGGTGCACAAGGTCCAGGCAGACAGACAGGCTAGGGATCACCAAGGTGAGGCCCCACTCAGTGCGCCCCCCAGGACCAGAGTGCCACTAGCAGGGGCGAGAAGAGGCCCGAGTGACTCGG